GTGCTATCTATTATATTGATCATATACCAATTGCATCTTCTATTCGTAATAACAATTTAGTTGATAGTTCAAATATTTTGTAACGAGTGTGTTGTAATATATGAATAAACAATTGTGTATAGAAAATTCAACGACACAATAAATCATAGAGAGAGGAAGAGAGAGAGGATATAACAAGTGAAATATGGCGATGGTCAACCAACGAAAAAGGTCATTGGGCAGTAAATGAGTCATACACTCATACCTTTCAAAGGTGTCAACGGCCGGTCAACTGTCATCTATTGAAATAAAATAAGAAATTTTTTGGTCTATTGTTATTTTTAGATATTCTCATTAACTGAATGTACATACATTTTTCATGTTCTTCAAACTGTTTTGTATTGTAAATATTCTCTTTGTTTCCATTTCCAGTATGATATATATATATTTTTCTTTGTTTTTCTTTAAACATATATATTTTTTTAAATTTCCTAGGTGAACAATTACAAGCTCCAATAATTTTACGTGAATCAAGTGATAATGATGTTCCATTAGGTTCTCGGAAAGTTTTTACATGTAATGCAATTGGTTATCCACCTCCGACTTATATGTGGTTACTTGAATGGCAAAATTTAACATCGAATTTTTCTTCTCTAAGTTATTTTGAAATTCCATCAACGAAAAAACAAGATCAAGGTTCATATCGATGTTTAGCAAAAAATGATGTTGGAATAGTTGCAAGTAAAGCAGCACATTTAACTGTTTGGTATTTTGATGGTTTATTAAATAATCAACGTGATCAATTTATTAATGTTTATGAATCTGATGCTGTTATTTTACATTTACCAGTTATAAGTTCATCACCTGATCCAACTGTACAATGGTTTATGAAAAGTAGTTCATCATCAAGAGATAATATACGTATAATAATTAATGAAAAATATTTTATTACATCAACACATAATCTTGTTATACTTAATACAGAATATCATGATGAAAAAATATATTTTGCTATTATTGAAAATATTTTTGTTGGAGGCACAAAACAATCATCAGATTTTCGTTTACAAATTAATCGAAGAAAAATTCCACTTTCAGAAACAATACCAGAATTTATTATTAAACCAACAGATCAATTAGCTACTATTGGTGATGCCATTAAATCTTTTGAATGTGTTGCTAATGCTGGGTAAGATATTATTTTCATTTACGCTTGACATGATAGAATAACTTCATTAATTGAAGAAAGAAAAAAAAGACGTTTCATATCGGACATCCAGAAATTCATTGACCGGAAAGAAAATTATTAATGTCTCGACTAGAATTTTATCGCATGAACGAGCTTATCTTAAGGAAATAGAAAATGAGATGAATAGTTTATTTAGAAGTGTTAGGTGATATAACTATAAAACTAAACAACAAACTTGTTTTTTTATGCTTTTTTACACTCTGGTTTTGCCAGAAACTCCAATAAAGACACTTTTTTTTAGGCAAAATTTCACAGAAAGTGCATAATTTAAGTCTTTTCTACGTTATATGTGTCAGAAAATTCTATCCCCTCCCACTTTTGAAAACAATCGGGAATTCTGCTAAAGAAGCTTAATAATACGAAGATCTGACTATAGGTCAAAAGATAATGAAAATACTCATTGTTACTTTCCTTTAAATGTCACAAAGTTAAAATTCATATCGATTGGTATTTTTCATATTTAGTCCGGGTAATACTATTGAAATAATTTGGCAAAAAAATGCGATATTAATTGACCAAACAACAGGGCGATTCCATATTGGACCTTATAATCGAACACTTGAAGTTCGTGGAATAACTGCGGATGATCAAGGAATTTATTCTTGTCATATTCGAATAAAAAACAGTGATAATTTCATAAATGCAAGTGCAAAATTAATTGTTCGAGGTAAACTTTAGTTTTATTTTCAAAAACTTTATTTGATAATATTCGAATTAGGTGTACCGATAATTTCAACAAATTTTCCTCTTATTCAAAATGTTGATTTACAAGAAAATATTATTTTTACTTGTGATGGAACACCAATATCAACAAATTTTAATGTAACATGGTATAAAAATGCTATTCTTTTAACAAATGAATCTTCAAAGTAAAATATTATGAAATTATTTCGTTGTTTTATTTAATTTTAATAGAATTCAATTAATTGATAATAAATTAATAATTAATACAATCGAATGGAATGATCAAGGAATGTATCAATGCTTTCTAACAAATGATGTTGGAGAAGACACACGTTCGACATGGCTAAAAATAAAAAGTGAGAAAAAAAAAACAAGATTTTTTATAACTATCATGTATTATTTCTTTAGGTGAACCACCAACAGTAACTGCTAGTAAAGATTTAATTGTTTTTAATGGAACTGATGTAGAATTAACATGTACTGCTAATGGATCGCCATTTCCAAATATAACTTGGTTTAAATGTAAATATTCTTCTATTTCAAATTTTATATATATGTATATATATGTATAGTAAATTCCAATGATAATCAACGTATTTTAATAAATAATCTTCATGGAAGATTTCATATCGATAATCGAACTGGTGTATTATCAATAACAAATACTATACGTGATGATTCAGGTATATTTGAATGTTTAGCACAAAACATTCTTGGATCAGCACATGCACGTACAACATTACTTGTTCATCGTAAGTATTAAGAAAAACTTGATGTAGATTTGATTAACAAAAAAATTAAATTCTGTAGGACGAACAAGGATTATTTCATTACCGCAAACAATGAAAATTGTTAAAGCACAATCGTTAGTACTTGTTTGTCAAGTATTTAGTGAAGATGATATAGCAAAACGTATTCATTGGTATTTTAATTATAATCAAATTATACCACATAATAGATTTTATAATGAAAGTACAATTTTAATTGATACACCACAAAATCAAGATACGGTATGTAAGAAATACTGAGATGCTACAATTGATTAAGATCTACATGATATACATAGTTCTATCTAGTATTGACTGGTGAGACTCATGACCGCAAGTTATCGACGTAATATAAATCTTCTCATTAAGATAAGCTTAGTAGTTTCATAGTAAAAATTCGGATTGTATTTCTTCTTTCAGCAATATGTACAGTCTCCATTACAGTATGGATTGCATAATAAAATGAGATTGCATGTCATGACCAGCCAAATCGAATGACCATGACCGTAACAAAAACATTTTCGTCATATCGAATATAAACATGTACGTCTATCATTAAACGTAAAAAATTGTCTTGCATAATGTACAGTCTCTTCATGAATGCTATTTATAACTGTGAGAAGCATAACAATAGTGTTTTCATGGTCATAAAAGTTAATATCATAGTTTTCTATAGGCAATAAAAACACTTAATTGTGTTTGGGCAAATCATTTGTAGTATCATTGTCTTCTTATTTCCTAGGGTAATTATACTTGTATAGTCGAATCTGAAGCAGGTAATGATAGTCGTACAACAGAAGTAACAATAATTGGTAAGTTTATTATTATATTCGATGGAAATCTTAATATTTATTATAGAATTACCATGGCCACCGACATTTGTCCGAGCATCACTTATGAATGATTCATTGAGTAAATCAGTTATTGTTAATTTAACTTGGATACCAAATTTTGATGGAAATATTCCAATTGAACGATATACAATTCAAATGAAAGATTCGATATTATCAGATATAAATGGATATGATGATATTGGTTGGCAAAATAAAGAAGATATTGTAATACAAAAAAATCAAACAAAAACTTGGACATTAATTCATCATCTTCGACCATTTACAACTTATCGTTTTCGATTATCAGCTTGGAATCAATTAGGAGAAGGACAAATAAGTTCTCCTAGTAATAATATTACTTTACCTGAAGAAAGTAAGATGATTTACTTTTTTTAAAATCATATGGATCAATAATATTTTTTTTAAGTTCCAAATGGTACTGTTAAATCTTTAACAGCTATTCCACGTGATTCAACATCAGTATTAATTGAATATACAAAACCAATTGAATCAAG